AAAAAAAAAAAAAAAAACAGGACACCTTATAGATGTTTAAATGAAACCTTTGCATGGCAATAAAAGAAAAATCAAATGCTTGCAAAAGTTTCAGCTTCTAGATGAGAGGATGCTGGCGAAGATCCAATGGAAGAAATAAGATAATAAATACTCCACATTAGGCAAAAAACTGCTCCTATGTCTAGTTCTGCCCAAAACTTGTTCCAGAAATGCTGACACTGAAGTGATGTAACTAGTCCTATAATTAAATATAAATCAACCCAATTAAAGACAGGTTGAAAAAGAGACACTAGGAAGATGACAGATACATTTCAAATAATACCCACTCAATCACTTTGGAGTTCAAAAATATTCCTGGAAAATGCAATCCCTACAGATAATCACTGTATCAAAATATCTTCATACATTTCCTTCCTATTATGTAATTTGTATACAAAAATATGATAGGGAAACACTATACTTATGGCACACTAATGAGCAGTATTTTAAGAAAGCAGTTTTTCGACTTGTTCAATGTTGTCCTAAAATTAGCTAAATTGGAAATCATTTTATTCTGCCTCTCTAAGTGTTTATATTAAAAAGAGCAGTAATGTAATTTATTTGTCAAATTAATGAGACTAAAGAAAAAAGGTTATGTAATTTGAGTGTTTAAAATGTTACTTTTCCATTAAGTATCTTTAGGGAAATGTGTTCACAAGTGTTTCATACATATCACCTCTAGGCCAGTTCGAAGGGTTCCATATATTTAAAAATAAATAAAACATTTCTTTTAGTGCCAATGTTCAGTATATTCCTCAAGAAATTAATAATACAGGCTTTGAAATTCTCTCAGCAAACATCACACTGGACACAGGTCCAAGAGCTATTTACCCTGGGGGGGAAACAGCCAACATTTCTATAACTGGAGGTACGTACTGACTCACCTTTGCACACATCAGTGAAATGTCTTAAGACTAAAGCTGGCTGGTGCAATTAGGCTCAGATGCTTTGCGTCAATGTTTGGAAAAGCCATAGACTCTGTGGTGTAGCCATCTTGTTTGTATTCTACACCCCACCCCCCCAACTTCCTACCAGGGGTAATTATAATACTCACCCCAGGGCGTTTCTACTTTCCTCACATCTAGTGCATTTATTCAGTTCACAGTTTGGGTGTGAGTAATTAGTAATTAGCTTATTCTAATTCCACTTAATCTTAACACCCAATCATCCTAAATTGCACAGATCAAAAAGAGTGACAGGGAAGAAAGAAAGGTGACAGGTGGGAGAACAAGCGAGGGCTTCAAGTGCACCCTCACAGGGAAGTCCTCACACAGCCACTTCCTAGGTCGCCACCTATGCACATGGTAAGACTTCAACAGAATCCGAGGGTGAGCCCCCAGGAAATGAGCTCAGGAGAAAGTCACCCTCTTAAATACCTCTTTCCCTCCTATTTCTGTAGGGAAAAAAATAGTGTTTGAAACCATTTTTACTCTGCCACTTAGCAGGACATAATCCATGGCCTCCAGCACACTTTTAAAATAGTAACAGGAAATAGAATCACAAGACTCTTGTGAAGAACCAAGTTTCCAGTTTCTACCTAGAAAAACCTTGAATAAACTTTGAGCAGCGTTTTTTACTAAACCCAAGACAACAGATTTGTCAAGTATTTTTTTCTCACCTTAACAGAACAATCATGGGTGGTTTGCCACAATGATTCTAGCAAGCAATAACTGTACATATACAATATATCATAAACATAATTATTTTATGTTTATATAATTTATTTATATAATAATCTGTGTTATAATTACATATAAGTAGTATGATAAAGCTTATAAACACAGGTCACAGTTGATTTGCAGAGATAAATGTAGTTTATATATATAAATCAGTATGTATAGTTTACATGCATTATATACATAAATCACAGCAGATGTTCTCGTTATACAAAAGAAATTCCAAAACTCTAACTATAAAACTATCTGTTTTATCTACCAGCCAAAAAGCGAAGGAACTTGAACACCACTGGGTGCTACGAGAGAAACTTGGAAAACCAGAAAAGCAATAGTAACAGTCACACTTCACTGCCTCAGTAACGCATGCACACTCACTCATACACAAGGAATGTGCATGTCCTAGGCATTTGATCTAAATTTATGAACTAAAGTTAAGTCAAGACAATACTAGCAAGGAACACAAAGTTAATAAATACAGAGCAGAGAACATTGGAGACAATGTTAGACAATACTAGCAAGGAACACAAAGTTAATAAATACAGAGAACATCCTCATCAGCTTGCACTGTGAGTGCCATAGGCAGATACCATCATCCTCACAGTTTTACATAAAAGAAAACTGCAACTAGAAACATCGGAGTTCCCAAGGTGACCCAAATTATGAGTGTCAGTTTCTGGAATGTATGTAACACGATCAGATGGTGTGTTTGATCAAAGCACACAAAGTCCACCCCAGATATGCTGAATCATAATCGTCATGTGGGCTGAAATGGGTAGGAGAGCTGATATGATGGAGGGAGGGGTGCTGCTGACCATCTCTGTATCTGTAATAGGCACCGCTGGGAATTCTCAAACATCAGACTTTGAGTACCATGAAGAGACTGCTTGAGCCCCTGCGCACGTCCGAAGTGCAGACTGTGCAACAAAGTTACATGGACCCCATGGCAAGGAGCTGTTCTTGTGGCAGTTACAGAACACTCCCAAGGGACTGAAGTGGATGGCCTTCTACCCATTTCTTCTGAATGCCAGACAGACAGAGGGACAGGACTACAAAGTATACAAAGTCCCAACCGTCACATGAGAAATCCATCTTGCTTTTATCCATGTCCTTGGCAGAATGAAATACTATAATCACATCATATTTTAATATAACGTTGGCATGGATGCTTTAATAGTGCCCTTCTCCTCCCATCCCAACCCCCAAACCATAAACATAAACATTTCTGAATTAATATCATCAAGAAGAGCCTGGTTATGTGATCCTTCACGATGATCACTCTCTCCCACTTGGGCAAACATATGGTACTATAATTTTTCTTCCAAACATCTGTGTCTGGAGAATGATAAACACATAGGATAAAATATTGCTCTAAGATGATCTATGGAAAAGTTCCAAGGATTTGTATGCAATCTCGATGAACATAAAGTGACAATTTTGACAATTTCTTTTAAGAACATTATCAACAAATTCCACATGTGCATATACAAGTTTTCTTTGTAGTTTTAAAAGTTAAAACGCAAGGCTAGGAGGAAGCAGGAAATAATCAAGGTTAGAGTAAAAATCAATGAAACAAAATAAAAAATCAATAAAATTCGTAGAGAAAAATCAATGAAACCAAAAATTAATCAAGTACAGTAAGTTCTTTAAGAAGATACATAAAAGATAAAAGTAGAAGAGAAACAGAACTATAAAGTAGTTCTATCAAAAACAGAGGATAGACTCATACAGGGAAAGGGGAATGGAGAGAGGAGAACCCAATTACTAGTGTCAGGAACAACATTCTACAGATATTTTAAGGAAAACAAGTGAATACTACCAACTTTATATCAATATATTTGACATCTGACATGAAAAGGGTAAGCTTCTTAAAATATACTGTCTATGAAAGCTCACTCAAGAAGCATTTGAATGTACCTATATCTAGCAACAAAAGTTGAATTTGTATTTAAATTTATTCCCAAAGAAAACCAAAGGCCCTTTATTGGTAACTTCACTGGTAAATGCGATCAAACAACTAAAGAATTAATACCAATTTTATGTTAATTTCTGTATAATAAATGAAGAGGGACTACTTTCCAGTTCATTCTAGGAATCCAATGATTATTCCAATACAGAACAGAGAAAACATTAAAAAAGAAAGCCAGGCCCTCCCTGGTGGCGCAGCGGGTTAAAGCACAGCACTGAGAATCTAAAGCCGCTTCCGCATGAGTTCGATTCCCGCCTGCCCGGAGGTGACCACATGGCGTGGCAGACCTCTCCTGACCCACCCGCTGCTCCCCTCAGCAGTGTACTTCGTCGATCTGCCTGTTCTGCTCCCCACTCTGTCTCTGGTGAATCCTCTCACCCTCCGCATCTCTGGCCTGTACCCTAGTTCTGTATGAATAAATAAATAAATCTTTAAAAAAAAAAAAAAGAAAGAAAGCCATACTCAGAGATTCTCATTAACATCAATGCGGAGATTCTCCACAAAATTTTAATGACAATGTACACACTGAGTAATATGACATCACCACATGGAATTAATCCCAGGAATAAAAGGTAGATTTTAATGTTTGATAATCAGATACTTCATCATAACAACCAACTTAAAAAGAAAAACAATAACCTCAACAGAGGAAAAACATTTGACAAAATAGAACCAATTCCTGAGAAAAATTCTCAGCAGAGAACTCACAATTAGATAAAAGGCATCTATGAAAAATCACAGCCAACATCACACTTAACAGAAAAAGAATGATGCTTTTGTTCACTGGGACTAAAAGAAGGCTGTCTGTACCCACCACTACTCTTGAGCCTGCCCTGGAGGATTTAGCCAGCACAACTGTCAGGACTGAAGTCTGATTGCATGTACTTATCAGGCAATAAATTAGCCTGTGGCTGTTTCATGAAAGTTGATAAGAGACAGGAGACTCTTGGGTCAGAGACAAAGGACTTTACTATTCATGGGAAAGCCAAGGGCATGGGCATCTTGTTGGGATAGATTCGGCTTCATGTCCAAGGACTCCAGGTGACAGGGAAAGCTCAGTGGGACACCTCCACACGCACTGGATTGATTCCAGAAAAAACAGCACTCGCGAGCTTGGTTAAGCTGCTGTTGTCATAGTTAACAGTAAGCAAACCTGCCTGTTGTTCAGAAGGGAAAGTTCCAACATCCCAAGAGGCTGGGTGCTTTCCTGCAAACACAACCCTGAGAAGAGCATGGGTAAGAGAGCCCAGCCCAGAATTCTTGCCTCCCCCAGCAGGATATGTATGACCACCAGCAAGCCAGAACGAATGTTTCCCAACAACAAGAAAAAGATAGACATTGCTAATAAAAAAGGAAGAAGCAACATTTCTTGTTCACAACCATCTATGTAGCTAATGATGGAATCTATCAAAAGTGTACTAGACTTAGTTTCAGTATATAACAAGGTGACTACATACAAGATCAATAAGCAAAAGACCCATTTTATTTCTACCTACCAGCAAGAAACAACTGGAAATTGAAATTTAAAACACCACCCACAGTAGTATCTAAAATGAAATACTTAGAAACAACTCTGACAAAAGACGGATAGGGTCTTGACACTGAAAGTTTTAACAAAAATACTACTGAGAGAAATTAAAGACAACCCAAATACCTGGAGAAATATAGAACCATCTTAGGTCAGAAACTCCATATTGTTGAGATGTCACTTCTACCAAAATGGACTTACAAATCCACTGTAACCCCGATCAAATCTCAGTGTGCTTTTTTCTTTTTTGAAAAAGAAACTAAGCTGGTTCTGAATTTCATATGGTGTTGCAAAGGACTTAGAATCACTAAAATAACTTTGAAAAGAGAAGAGCTGAACTGACAACTAACCCAAGCCAACTGTAAGTCTTACAACAAAGCTATGGCAAATAAGACAGTAGAGTAGTGGTTTAAAGATAGAAAAATAGACCAATGGGACAGGCTACATGGAATACGTGAACATGGACCCACATATACATGAATAATTAATCACCAACAAAATGAAACCTAACTCAGTGGGGGGAATAATAGACTTTTAAACATGTGGATATACCATATATGCAAGAAAAAGGAATTTCCATCCACACATTTGCTTATTTACAAAAGTTACCTCAAAGGAATCACAGACCTACACATATAACCTAAAATTATAAGTCAGAACATCTTGTGACACCGGTTAAGCTAATACTTATTTCCTATGACACCACTAAGGCACAGTACACAAAGGAAAATAGTGACAAATGGGAAGTCATCAAAATTTAAAATATCTAGCCTTAAAGGCACTATAAAGAAAATGAAAAGATGAGCCACATACTGAGAGAAAAATATGTATAAATCATGAATCTGATCAAATCTTTGTCTTTGGAAACTATTTTAAAAACATAAAATATTTAATAAAGCAAATAAATGGCAAAAGATCTGGATTCATAGGTAACCCAAATAGGTGTAGGATGGTAAATACGGAAACAGATGCTCAATAGTATCAGTTGCTGAAGAAATGCAAATTAAAACCACAAGGAATACTGGCTACAATTTCAAACACTGGCTATACCACAACTGAGGCGTATGCGGAGGAATGAAATTCTTGGTGGCAGTGTAAAATGGTACAATGACTTTGGAAAATAGTTTGATAGCTTTTTAAAAATTTCCTATGATTAAACCTACCAGATGATTCAATCACTGTACCCCTCTGTATTTACCCATAGGAAATGGGAGTATCCAATCCTACGGCTTGAACATCCAATCAAAGATTTGAGTATCAACATTCAGAACAGTTGTACCTGTCATAGCCTAAAACTGGAAATGACCCAAGCATCCATCACCAGGTAATAGATAAATAAATTGAGCTACAGTCCTAAATGGAGCCCTACTCACCAATAAAAAGGAATGAAATATGAAAACATGTAGCAAGATAAATCGATTGCAAAGCCATTATACTGACAGAAGGCTGGCAATAAACAGTGTATATATCCTGTATGGTTCCATTCAGAAAAATTTTTAGAAAATGAAAGCTCATCTATAGTAATGGTAACAAATATATGTGGCAACAGATGAGGGGGGGGACCAAAAGGAGTGTTTTAGTAAAATACATAAAACTTGAGGTGATGAATATTTTCACTATATTGCTGTGGTGATGGTTTCGCTGGCATGCCTATGTCAAAACTTATCAAATTGTAAACTTTATTTAGTACATGTCATTTAGTTTTTAAAAATCTACATAAATACAAAAAAAAAATCATTCATCACTATATTCCCAGAAAACATATACAATGATAAATGTACCATAGTTATGAATTTTAACACTAAAACTTGTCCAGAATCGCTAAGGAACAGCTCTCGTGTTTTTATCACCAGCTTACATAAGAGCTAATTTATTCTTTTCAAGCTGAGTTATGGACAAGTATTTTCCCTCTCAGAACAAATTGCTAAGCTCTGCTCACACAGGTCCTATTCAGTTCCTCAATTAGAAATTTCCATTTTCCATAACCTTGTTTTACTATTTTATCTCGGGAAAAAAAAAATCAACATTTGAAGATAAGATCAAAGTAGGTGTTTCACTATGTCTTCAGAATCTCAAGGCTGTGACCTTGCAATCATGACAGAGTATTTTGGCATTCACACTCACCTGAGCTGATTTGCTGCATAGGACTCCATGAATCTCCAAGTAGCTGAAGGTTAACTCGAGCTGAAATAGAGAGAAGAAAGGGAAATAAACAATGACGCTTTTAGAACCTATAAATCAAAAGATGGAGAGGGAGTGCTCTAAGCAGACACGGTCCAAAAGCGTATGACTGAATAAAGAAGAAAGTGATTTGGATACATGGTGGAATACTACCCAGCTATGAAAAAGATATCTTGCCATTTACACCACCACCAATGGACGCAGAAGATATTATGCTCAGTGAGATAAGTCAGATGGAGAAAGATAAACACTGAATGATTTCACTATTTGTGAAGCCAAGCAAAAAGATGAACTAAATAAAAAAAAAAAATTCCCAGACTAAAAGACAACTAATAATTACCAGAAAGGAAGGAGAAAACCAGGTGAAAGGGATCACATATATAATAAAAGAAAGAATTGGATTTTTATTGGTGAGCTAAATGAAATATACACAGATATTGACTTTTAATGATATAATAGACTCCTGAAATTTATAATAATGTCGTGACACAATGTTAATTCAACAACAACAAAATTTTTAAATAAACAATCCAATAGCAGGCAAGATACTGGCATTTTCTAAAAGCATGCTATTTTAGTCTCTCCACTCAATAAATGTACACCTTGATTTATATTTCAGAAAAATGTATGATTCACTTTATTAGGGGTTGATAGAAAGCTACACTTAAGACTTTAAAATTTCATTCAGCGACAAGCCCATTAAAAGTTTTCATACTTTCCAGAATGTATTCATTGAGAAATGAATGTGTGAAGTCACCCGCCTAAATCCAAGATTTTTTTTATTTCAAGATTCTGCCTCAGAAAGTCACATCAGGATAAAGATATGCCTGTTTTCCTTCCTTCATAAATCCTAAGTGCCTCTTGGGTTATACTCCCACCACTTACCACATTTCTACCATCTTTCCTAAAAATTCTTAGCTTGAATTAGAAAAACACAACATTTAAGAATTTTAAACTGTCTTTAAGGGAAATACCTCCAGTCCCTCTCTGTCTCTAATGTAGATAAATGTTGGGGTTTTTCCTTTTTATTTTAACAAGGTGTATGCGCCCACTCCTCTCGGCTCCTAATGCCAGATTTCATTTTCCTGAAAACCTCTCCAGAGTCACACTCTTTGTCTGTTTTTCCTGGTCAATGGCCAATAATCTTTCCCCCAGACAAGCAGTCAATCATCCACTTCAGTCACCAGTCACAGGGGCTAGTGACACGGTAGGCTGTGTCAGATCAGCACCCTTAACCACCAGAAGCAAACCCACGAGATCCTTAGTACAGCCCCCTGGTAGGTAGTAAGGTTGTTTAGCCATTTTACATATGATGGGGTAACTCTTAGACCAGAGAATCCCTCAAAATCTGCAGTCAAATATATTAAAGTATGACGAGAACTAGAGTTCGGAAGACATTTCCTTCTTCCATTACTCATTTAGTCAACCCATGGACTGCATTGGAATTGGGAACAGGTTGGAGACATTTATCTTGTTCTCCAAGAGGTAAACGCTGCATTCAAGGAACATTTAAAATATTCAGTTAGACTCGAAACCCTCCTTATAAATCCTTCTCAAGCTCTATGTTTGGTTGGGTTTCTAAAGTGATTTAAAACAGGAAATTTTCTCCAAAGTGTATTTTATCTCTCTTCACTCATTTCAATGCAAAACTATTATTTTCAAACGATCGCCTTTAATACACTACTGAAGCTTCCTCTCTGCAGGAAGCCCACTGGCTGACCATTTGCTCTGGGGCCACACACATAAATGCAGGACACCCAACTTGCAATTCAAGTCTCTCTAAAATGGACTGAGAATCAATAGAGTGCAATAAATCAACATTACCTCAATGGGCAAAACAAAGCAGGGAAGGAACACAATGGATTATGGTGAGGACTATGGGTGCTTTGGTGGTGATCTACCAAATCTATGGGTACTTTTGTGGTGACTGTGGCATAGGGACAACACAAAGGAGGAGAGCCTATGCCTGTAAAACACAATGTTGTAAACCAATGCTATCTTTCATTGGTTTACGCAGTGGGTTGGAGCGCTGCACTGTGAAGCTAAGCCTAGCTGCAGCTGCGTCAGTGTGAGTTCGATTCCCACACCGAAGGTGACCCACATGGCGCAGCAGATCTTTCCTGTCTCACCCACTGCACCCTTCAGCAGTGTGCTTCGTTGATCTGCCTGTTCTGTTCCCCACTATGGCTCTGGTGAATCCTCTCGCCGCCCCTGCACCTCTCGCTGTACCCCATTTCTGTATGCATAAATAAAAAT